TCCTCCACTCTGGGGGAAGAAGGTTGAATTTAATCTCTCCACATCTTACTTTCCTGACTGCCTTCAACAAATCAGTTCCTATCTGGGCATAACCCCAGCTCTTACATTGATTGCCCTCTCTAAAGTTGACTCTGGCCTCCAGCTTCATGCAGAACGAAGTATCAATAATTCATTGTGAGCAATTGGGATAGTTGAAACTATGAGACCTGCTGTTGACACAGACTCTTTAAGCTTCTAGAGAACTCTCAATAGCTTTATTTGCTGAAAATGGAATGATGCCAGCACTCTTCCTCATGATGGTCTCCATGCAAATTTCCCAATCTTTTACTTTGTATGAACACATGCAACAGCATTTTAAATAGTCACCACCTACTTTCATTAACAACCAAGACAAAGGCAGAGTTTCTTCGGATGCTGGGAGACTGAAAAAGAGATCTTGTGGATGAGCATGTGGAAGGGAATGAAACAAATAGTGCAGAGGTAGTGGGAGGCAAAATACGGTAGTGGAAACAACGGTACTGCTGACTCTTAAGCCCTCTGTGGCTTTGGGCATGCGCACACACGTACCTGGCGTGAGTTTAAGCCGCCGGGTCCGGGACTCGAATCATGGTAGACTACATGGGAGTCCAGCGACATAGCCATTATGCTAACTGCTGGTCCCTCTTTTTATTTTTTAAAAATTTTTGGAGAGGTTTTTGCTATAGGGCCTGTGCGCTCACCAGAAAGACAGAGAGAGACAGAAAGCGAGAAATCAACCGTGCAGGGGGGACGGCCACGCTGCAATCCCCTCTCCTCCATTCTCCTTTCGGGATCTTGGGCACGCATGCACACACGCCCTGCATGAGTTTAAGCCACCGGGTCCAGGACTCGAACCGCGGTCCACTACAGGGGAGTTCAGTGACATAGCCATTATGTTAACTGCTGGTCCCAAGATAAGATTTCTTTTGAAGGACAAAAAAGACAGTATTGGAGGTGGGTTCATCCACATGTTATAAAGTCTAGAACTCATATAAGCCATCTTGTATTACTCAAAAACACAATAAGGATAAGACCTGTTCCTCTAGACCAATATTATTCTGTAGGCTATGTGTTCTATTGATGGGCTGAGTTGTGACCAGAAGTTAAAAAGAAAATGAGACAGAATAGAAAATGTGAGAGTGCATGTCACACTGTAAGGGTAATGCTTGGTGAATCTTTTGTTATAAACATATGTGTACTGAGTTGTGATGAAAAATTTCTTTCTTACTGTGGGGCATAGTCAAAAAATTTGAAAGCCATTGCTCTGTATGCAGTATAATAAAATCTATACCTTGAAAAAGAGTACTTGATATATTTCAGTGTCACAGAAGAGCCACAGCATAAATTCTGCTACCAAAAAAAGCATGTTAAAGAAAACCCTGCCTACCTTGTCATTTTTAGGTCATCATCTTTAAATTATTACTCTAACAAAGCAATATGCATAACATCTTCTAGAAACAAGTAGCTTTTTAAGACTCTTGTTTGAGTATGTGAAATAGTTCGCTGCACTCCAGTGGGGCTATCACAAATTTAGTTTTGGAAATTTACTTACAGAAACCAATACAATCACCTGCCTTAATGACTCTTTAGTACAGTCTCAACACAGATCACCAGCTTTGTTAAAATCATTCAATTATAGGATTGTTCAGAAACCATAGTTTCTTACAGTGAACATTTCAAAAAAATAAAGAAAACTAGACCAACAAATGAACAACCAGATGATACCAAAAAATGACACACACTTGAGGCACAGAAGGAACAGGGATTGAAATAATTTGGAGACTCTGATTAAGCAGATTGAGTGTAGAAAAAAAGCATGACTTAGACAAATGAAGCTTGCCCTGCAAAGGCTGTTACAAAAAGCTGCTGAAGATGATTATCAGTGGAATTATAATGCAAAGTTCCATTTTAAATATTTTGTTCTCCAAGTGGATAATCTCAAAATGAAGTACACTGTAAAAACATGGCAAGGACCTTCTGAGTCTTCATAGTCTAAATGAAAATATCTAATAAATTTGTATAATTGACTCTGGCCAGTATTTGGATTAATGTTTAATTTTGCCAAAACCTATAACTTTTTGTTTCAGGAAAAAATAAATTGTTTTCCTGATTATAAAATTGTTATATTCACTTACAATATTTAAAAATATTTTATTTATTATTATTATTTTAATTTTGCTAATAGGGCACATGTGCTCACTAGAAAGAGATGGAGGGTGGGAGGGGGGAAGAGGGAGAGGGAGAGAGGGAGAGAGGGAGAGAGAGGGAGAGAAACAGAAAGAAAGTGAGAAAGCAAGCCACCAGGTCTGGGCTCAAACTGCAGTCTGCCATGTGGGAGTCCAGTCCCTTAACAACCACAACACCTGCTGGCTCCATTTATAATATTTTATGATTATGAATTCACCGTCATTTCTATTTAGGTGAATTGACACTCAGACTACGTGGGTGAGGCCTAGGACATTCATGGTCAATATTTTCATAAGTTGTATTGAGATAAAATTTGCATACCATAAAACTCACAAATATAAGTGGGCAACCAATGATTTTAGTAAATGTAAAGTTGTGCGACCATCATCACAATCCAGTTTTGGATCATTTTCTTCATGCCAGAAAGTTCTGCCATGCCCATCTGCAGTTAATCCCAGCAGGCCTGGGACTAGGCTGAGGCAAGTGAGGCATCTGTTCACATGTGAAGTTCAAGAGGGTGTCGATATCTCACTAATCCAGATAAATAGCATTTTAGTGACATTTTTTAAAAATTCAAAAAATCTACGAGGAACAAAATATAAAATTTTAGAAACTATTTAATTTTATTTATTATTATTAAAAAATTGCTATGGGACACATGCACGAGAGAGAGAGAGAGAGGAGAGAGAAGAGAGAGGTGAGAAAGCAAGCTGCCAGGTCCTGGATTTGAACTGTGGTTGGCCATATGGGAGTCTAATGCCTCAACCACACCATGCCAACCTGCTAGCCCCCAAAATATAAAAATTGGAAAGCTTAGATCTGATGATTGCACTTGCTCTACTCAGCTTCAGCCTAATTCTGGCCCTTCCATACTCTCTTCAAGCCCACAGCAACCACTTGTGTACTTTCTGTCTCAGTGGATTTGCCTTTGATATGAAAATTCAATAAATGAAATGATACAATATGTGGTCTTTTATGTCTGGTTTATTTTGCTTAGCATAATGTTTTAATGTTCATCCATATTCTAGCATGTCAGTAGTCTGTTCTTTTCAAATGCTGAATAGTATTACACTGTATGGATCTTCCACATTTTGTTTATCCATTTGCTAGTTGATTGACATTTGGGTTCTTTCTAGTTTTTGGCTATTACAAATAAAACTACTAAGAACGTTTGTGTTTAAGTCTTTATATATCCATATGGTTATGGATAGATGTTTCTCTTTCTCTCAGGTGAAAACCTGAGTGGAATTGCTATGTTATATTTTAAATCTATGTCTTACTTTATAAGAAACTGCCTATTTTCCAAGGTGCCAGTACCATTTTGGATTCTCACTACTAATGGATGAGAGTTAAAGATGTTTGCATCCTTACCACCACTTGGTATTGTCTGTCTTTATTTATTTATTGAGAGATTTTTGCTATTGGACATATGTGGTCACTGGAGAGACAGAGAAAGACAGAGAGACAGAAAGCAAGAAATCGCCCCCCTCAGGGGGATGGCCATACCACAATCCCTTCTCCTCCACTTTCCTCTTGGGATCTTGGGCACGCATGCACACAAGCATGCATTGGCATGATTTTCGAGCCAATGTGTCCAGGATTTGAACCGTGGTTGACCATATGGGAGTCCAATGCTTTACCTACTATGCAACCTTTTGGACTCTATCCGTCTTTTTGATTACAACCATTCTAGAGGATGTGCAGAGATATCTCTCTGTGGTTTTAACTTGCATTTCCCTAATGACTAATAATGTTGAGCATCTTCTCATGTGCTTATTAGCCATATATATCTTCTTTGGGGAAAAGTCTATTAAAATCTATTGTCCATTTAAAAAATTTGGTTGTCTTCTTTTTGTTGAGTTGAAAAAGGTCATTCTATATTCTGGATATAAGCCCTTTAACAGGTAAATCATTTGCTAATATTTTCTCCTAGTCTATGGCTTATTTTTTTCCCGTTTCTTTTTTTAATTTATTAATTAATTTTAATTTGACCAGAGAGAGAGGAAGAAAGTGGGAAATCAAGCCACCAGGTCCAGGACTTGAACCATGGTCACCTATGTGCGAGTGTCCAGCGCCTTAACCACCATGCCACCTGCTCGTCCTCTTTTTTTTTTTTTCCCCATTTCTTAATAGTATCTTTCTAAATAAAAGGTTTTGAATTTTGACGAAGTCCAGTATTATGAATTTTTAATGGACTGTGCTTTTTATGTTCTAAGAACTCTTTGTCCAGTCTAAGCCACACAGACTTTGTCCTGTTTTCTTTGAGACACTTGACAGTTTTAGCTAGAAAACTTGGATGGGATACTACAATGGAGAGTTTTAGGCAGTCTGGAAGCAAAATGAGAAATGCAAGACACTGAAAGAGGAAGGTAGGAGGGTTTTAAATACAAGTTCCATGTTCTCTCAAATTTTGTCTAGATCCAGTCTCTTGACAAATGAGAAAATACTTTAGCTCAATTAATGAGGAAGTCACTTCCGTTCTGGTCAATATTTAGTATTTGCTGTATCTGAATAAGATTAATATTAGCTGGCATGTTGCCTTTACTCAGAGTTCAAATGTTTGCTCTGATATATAAAAACATGTTATACCATAGAAATAAAGAAAAGACATACAGAACAACACCAGTGATACACTCACTTCATGGACATAAACACAATGACTTGATGATATTTTGTTGTTGGATGGAATGTTAAATGATAGAAATCTGGAGTTGAGATGGGTGAATACCAGATGTACATGGATGGAGTATGGCCATAAAATACAACGAGGTGTTGGGTATGACACGGAAACAAACCTTGGAGAAATATCACATCCTTGTTGCATAAAGGCACCCAAAGAAAACCAAAGACTGTTAAATATTCCAAATTCATTTGGAGGATCAGGAGGGCTTTGTGGGTCACGAGGTTCTTCATTGTTGTCTTCCAAGTGCCATTCATAAGGGCTGAATCTGCTGACGAGGAAAAGAACTACACTGACTCCAATGTAAGCGAAGACAATGCACATCCAAATTTCATAAGCCAAGGGATCCAGAAATGAGAATACGCCTGGTTTTGATTTCTGAGGCTTCTTTATCATGATGGAGATGCCCAGGCTCATAAATGGCTTTGAAAAATCTATGACTTCTTCACGGACCAATGTTATTGTGAGTGGAGCAACAGCTATATCCGCTCTCTGAAAACAACAACAAAAATAAATGACTTTTAGAGACAGTATTTCAATCAGCCATTTGCCACTTAATATATTTCATTGGTGGAAATATAAAGTCTTACATCCCTACAACCAATTGATTAGTCAATGCTTAGGATACAAAAGTAGTAGCATTCACTGGGTTCTAAAGTACTTTAACTTGACAGTACATAAAAGACAGAGCACTGGCTTCTTATCCTCTGAGACACATTGGCTTAGGGCAACTGACTCCATTTTTCTGATTTATTTTTGCTGTTACTTATTTACTTTCTTTGTTCATAATCAAGAGCATGTGCATGTACTTAGTGTGCAATAGATACAGAGACAAGCCCCTTTCACAGGGTCTAGTCACACCACAATAACCCTCTTCCAGTTGCCCAGCATTTGTGCTTGACACGTTTCAGGCTGACCAAGCTGGAAATTTGAACCACAGTTGTCATGTGGGATTTGGCTTCTCTTGAGCAGCACATTACCTTCTGTGCCACAGAACTGGCCCTTTTTCTATTTTTTTTCTCTAACTGCATCTAACTCAACTTATACTCCTTTGTAACATATTATGGTTTATGGTTTAAATTTTTTATTTTAATTTTCAGGTCCTTATGTCTTACGTCCGTAATTTGACCGGAAATTCTTGTGGAGCAAGCATCATATCCTGTACTTTTTATATCTTTGTTTTCTCCATTTCCCATCTTTTAGAAAAATATTTATTTCATTCAATTTATTATTATTATTATTTTAATTTGTTATATGGCATGCACACTCACCAGAGAGAGACAGAGAGAGAGGGAAAGTGAGTCAGCAACGTGTGAGGTCTGGGACTCGAACTGGTCAGCTGTTGGGAGTCCAGTGCCTTAACCACCATGCCACCTGTCAGCCCTCTTCCCTCCCTTCCTTTTTTTTGCTAGGGGCTGTGTGTGCTTGATGAGGGGGGGAGAGAGAGAGAGGGGAGAGAGAGAGGAGAAAGCACCCCCCTCATGGGGAATGGTCATGCTGCAATCTCTTCTCCTCCATCTCTTCCTCCTTTCAGGATCTTGGGCACACATACACAAACACACAAACACACACACACACACACACACACACACACACACACACACACACACACACACACACACACACACACACACACCCTACATGTTTCTCAGGCTGCCAGGTCTGGGACTTGAATTGTATAGTCAGACTTGTGGGATCTGGCTGCCTTAACCAAGACACAGAGCCAAACCTATATATTATAAATGCCTCACTCCCAGTATGAAGTGACATAGGGCCATAGTATTCAGTTTAATTCTTGGGTGTTTGCTATCTTGTATTATTTTTGAATTATTTTTTTAGAGTATACCTATTTAAAAATATGTTCTTTGAAAATAGAGACTCAATCTTCTATTTTTACATCTATCACTGAAACAGATTCTAAATTAAAGAAACTGCAGATACCTAAAATATAAGTCGTTGATTAATTCATTTGATATATGCAAACATAAAAGAATTCAGCATGGGCAATAACAACGATAAAACAATGATTAGAATAGATATCAATTTATATAGTGAGCTATATTTTCTAGTGATAAATATCAGTGTTGCACTCACATACACTGGATTAATAAAATAAATGTCTGTAGTGCACTGCATAAATAATTCAGGCAAAGACAGGCAACATTTTTATATTAATCCATGAAATTGATACTGGAAACATCTGCATTTATTTCTTAGGTGTTATTATTATTCATAGGTGTTCCTTTATAACAGTACTAGGTTTTAGTCTGGGGCCGGTCCTTAAAACACCCACGTGGAAAAATGTCTGACTAAGGAAAGCCTTTGGGATGGTATATCAGCTATGAAGTTTAGATATATTTTTTTCTGTGTTCAACATAGTTATGCTCCAATATTTCTACCAATGGAAAAAGATATGGAAATTATGAAGTCTGAGAAAGAATATATTTTTAGAGAAATGAAGTTTTCCTGCCTTGAATTACACATGTTAAACCAATTGAGAAACACTCCTTAATTAATTTAAAGGTGAAATGCAGATGATAAACGTCTGGCTAACATTTATTGAGTGTTTACACTGTGTGAGGCACTGTGCTAAGCACCTTATACATATTATCTCATTTAATTCTCACAGCAGCCTTGAGAATGATGTTTGTTGGTAAAAATATTATTGCCATGTTAGTGATGGATAACTGAAGCACTGAGAGGCTAACATTAGAACCTGGTATTTAGATTTCAAAACCCACTCTTAACCAGCATTATGTTCTAATGCTATAGATTTCTAGTACATACCACTTGTATCTGCAATTATCAACCTTAGCTAACCTCTCTCAGGTTCATTCCAATGCGTATTTGAGTGCCAACCACTATTCTAGGCACTAGGGATAAAGCAGTGAACAAGACAGACAAAACAGAAAAATACTTGCATGGAAGGCATCCTACATCCTCTACATTCTAATTGCAAGTTACAGAAAGCATGTATTTGTTGAAACCAACTGGCCAAATCTACATTGGTGGCTTACTACCACTTCAAACACACGATTTCTAAAATTAAACATATCATTTATCACCCCAAAGTAGATTTTCTTTTGAGTCTAAGCATGATGTTTATTCCAAAATTTTCCCAGTTGCTAATCCTTACCAGTCCTATCCTCTTTGCAGAAGATCTTGCTTCTTTCTTTACTGAGAAGACAAATACCATCTGATAAGATCTCTGTCACTTCAGTATCTGTCCCCTCTTTCTCAACATATTGCTCCATCTTTATGCATTCCTTCTGTGCATTTCTCATAGAAAGTGACATGCTAAGATTTAATTCATTTACCTCATACATCCCATATTCCTTTCTCTCTTATTTATTTATTTTTCTATATGGCACATGTGCTCACCAGAGAGAGACAGAGAGAAAAGGAAAGTGAGAAATCACCCCTTCCCACCCCGGGAGGATGACCACACTGCACTCCATTCTCCTCCAGTCTCTTGGGATTTTGGGAATGCATGTACCACATGTGCCTGGCATGATTTTCAAGCTGTTGGGTCCAGGACTCGAGTTATGCAGCCAGCCATGTGCGATCCAGTACCTTAATCTCCATACCACCTGCCAGCCCTCTTTTATCTCATCTTAGAACTCAGTTTCATCTATTGTCTTTTTACATCTTTAATTTTTCCTTCTCTATTAATCTTTCCCAGTGGTTCTCAATGTCTGGTCCCTGGACTAGCTGTCAAGAGTCACCAGGGAGCCATTGCAGTACATTGAGCTCCATAGAGACAGCACCAGTGCAAGTGAGATCAAGATGGGCACTGGGCGACTCTGTGCCTCGCGGAGGAAAGATAACTAAACATGGGCAAAGGAGATCCTAAGAAGCCAAGAGGCAAAATGTCATCATATGCATTCTTTGTGCAAACTTGCCGAAGGGGCACAAGAACAAGCACCCAGATGCTTCAGTCACCTTCTCAGAGTTTTCTAAGAAGTGCTCAGAGAGGTGGAAGACCATGTCTGCTAAAGAGATAGGAAAGTTTGAAGATACGGCAAAGGCGGACAAGGCCTGTTATGAAAGAGAAATGAAAACCTATATCCCTCCTAAAGGGGAAACAAAAAGGAAGTTCAAGGATCCCAATGCACCCAAAAGGCCTCCTTAGGCCTTTTTCTTGTTCGGTTCCGAATATCCCCCCAAAATCAAAGAACATCCTGGCCTATCCATTGGTGATGCGGCAAAGGAACTGGGAGCGGTGTGGGAAAACACTGCTGCAGATGATAACAGCCTTAGGAAAAGAAGGCTGCTAAGCTGGAGGAAAAATACAAAAAGGATGTTGCTGCATACCGAGCTAAAGGAGAGCCTGATGCAGCAAAAATGGGAGTCGTCAAGGCTGAAAAGAGCAAGAAACTCTTTTCATCTCCTTAATGAAGGACAACATTCCCGTATCAACAAAAAATGCAAATGCTTACTCTCCTCTGGAGTATTTTCTCACTCTTGCGTGTGGCTAATTAATTCTCCTTATAAATATACATTTGTAGTCTTGAGCTACCCAGGCCCCTCCTATAATAGATAATGCTAGTGAGATGGCAAAGCCGATCCTTTTACAGGGTGAGCATCCTACTCCCAAAATCTGAAACACAAAATGCTATATAAAATCTGGAACTTTTTTTTTTTTTTTGGAGAGGTTTTTGCTATAGGGCACATGCGTTCGCCAGAAACACAGAGAGAGACAGAAAGCGAGAAATCACCCTCCAGGGGGGATGGCCATGCCTCAATCCCTTCTCCTCCATTCTCCTCTCGGGATCCCGGGCACGCACGCCCATGCGCCCAGCATGAGTTTAAGCCACCGGGTCTGGGACTCAACCCGTGGTCGGCTACATGGGAGTCCAGCGACATAGCCATTACGCTAACTGCTGGTCCCTGTCCTGGTGGTATTTTCAATAGCCATTAACCTTGCCCAGGACAGTGTGGGGGTTGTAAATTGGTATGGAAATTTAGAGCAGGTTCTTGTTGGTGCACAGCACAAACTAATTATGTGTGGGCATGGTAGCGTTTTCATCTTCAGTTGTCTCTGATGCAGTTTATATGAAATAATTGTTGTTGTTCTGTTAACTGAAGACCACTCTGTAATTGCAAAAAAAAAAAAAGTTTCAGCGGTTTTGTTGACACTCTGAATGCTTCTAAGTAAATATAATTTTTTATAAAAAAAATCATCAATAAAGAAACAGCCTAATAAAACATTGGCCAAAGGCCTGAACATACACCTCACCAAAATAAATAACACAGTTGGCAAATAAACATATGAAAAGATGTTCTATACCATATGTCATTAGGCAAATACAAATTAAAAGAACAATAAAATATTTTACACTCCCATTTGGATGGTCAAAATTCATAACACTGACAACATTAATTACTGACAAAGATGTGGAGCAACAGGAACTCTCATTCATCGTTTGTGGGAAGAGTGGTAGGAATACAGATACTTTGGAAGACTGGCAGCTTCTTTTTTTTAAGGATTA